GACTATTTTCTACTAATAAATGTCTTAATTTCGTATCAATATTTTTTCATTGACTTGGATCATAAATATTTATATGACTATAATCACTTGTTTTTATTAAGATTTTGATTGTCTTCTATTTCATTATCTTTTATTTCACTATTTTCTTTTTCAATATTTCTATTTTATTATCCTTTATTTATTATTTTTTATTTCAATATTTTCTACTTCAATATTTTTTTTTCATTATCTTCTATTTCATTATTTTTTATTTCAATATTTTCTATTTCAATATTTTTTATTTTATTATCTTCTATTTCATTATCTACTTGTTCATTTTCAAAATTTTCATCTAAATTTTTTGTTACATTATTTTTGAGATTCTATTAGTTGATCTATTTTTTTTTTAAAAAATTTTCGTATCCACTTGATTGTCTTCTGGGTGCCATATTATTAATATATTATAACTATATAACAACCAAACAAACACAAACAAACACAATATATAGTATAGTTAAAAATATATAACAAAAAAATTTAAAATTATGAAACAATTGAACTTGACTTGAATGATCTCAAATGTTGACTTTTTGGCTCTAAACCATGTCACTTATGTTGCAAAGAAAACCCGAGTTGATTGAGGATGGAGTGGAGCCGAGTGATCTATGATTATGTTCTTCGCCACTGTAGCACTTGGCAAAAAAAAAAGTGATCGGTGTGTGAGTATTGAGTAACGTTTACTGATTTGTTATGTGTGTGAGTAACGTTGTGAGCACTGTGAGAGAAAGAGAGGGAAGAAGAGTGTTTTTTTTTTTTTTGGTTTAAGTATAATGAGAGGGAGAGAAATAAAACTAATTGTTTTTGACTTATGTGTTTACTGAGAGAGAGAGAGAGAGATATGATTTGGTTGATTTACCAAAAGAAAGAGATATGATATTATTTGATTCTTTAAATTTTTTGGTGGCTTTGATATGACTTTTTAGTCTTTTTTTTTTTTACATTGTTAATTTTTTTACAATATAAAATATTTGGATTGAATTATGGGCCTAAAATAGTTAATTAAGCTTATATTTTTATAATTTTTTTTATATTAGTTATTCACCATGTTTAAAAATTTGGGATCTTTCTTTGAAATGGGGCTAAAGCCCAGACCTTTTTAAACTTTCTGCTGGGTCGGGCCTGTGGACTGAGTGCACGCACTCTTCTTCTGTTTAGGGTTTTTGTGATTTGGAAAAGTAGGGGGCTGACTATAAGTGGGTAGAAAACGTCATTACAAATGACGTTTTCTACCCAATATTTTTTTTAACACTTGTTAATTGCCCTTTTAAAATTTATTTTAAAAAACGTAATTAAAAACGACGGCTTTAAAAATGTCATTTTAAATGACGTTTATAATAAAAAAATTTCAATTTAAAATCGTCATTTCAAATGACGTTTTAACCCATAAGACGTTATTTGAAATGATGGTTTTAAAAAGAGATTGAATTTTAGAAATAAGTTTAAAACTAACTTGGTTTGGGAATAAAGTTTTTGGAGAGACTGAATTTTGAGAAAACCTCATAAACCAACGCACGCCAAAAAAAGAAAAAATTGATATCTTTTTATGTTATGTTCTTTTTGTTCACAGGTCTGAATGAGCTAGAGTCTTAGTGACGATGACACATCATTTTTGTTGAGGTGTGTGTAAGTTGACCTAAAATCTCTTGTTCGTTGTAAGAAAAAACAATTAATAGCATGTCAAGTTTTATATATGATATCATCGGTTAATAATAAACCATTTTAGGTATTATTAAGTGAATCACACTATTAAAATCTGACATTTTTGGATGTGATAGTTATTATTTGATTATTGATAAAAAATATCATGCATTAATAATAATAATGTGATATTATCGTTATAATGAATACCAACAATATTTTAAAAGGAGTACCAACAGAAGTAATTTAAAGATCCCAATTTGCTCCTGACATCCCTACACCTCTTTGGTGCCATGACTGCATAGAAATTAAATATACTACAAGAAAACACAAATCGAAATTAAGAGAAAGTTAACGAATTATTGAATTGACAATTTCTCTACACGAATCTAAAAATGACATGACTCACTAACAAAAAATAAAAATGGGTTGTATTTGGATTCAACTTGAATAACCCAAAATTGACTCAATTAACCTACTCATTTATTCGTGTCGATACTAATCTTAAATTAACTTGCTAATTGACAAGAACACGACCCGTTAATTTCAATTTAAATTGACCCACCTCAACCTGTTTATGATGAGTATAAAATGAAAAACAACCTCAACCCTGACACATTTCTCAATTCTATTCTGCCTCATCCGCCGCTTCTTGTCCACACTGAACCTCCTCTAACCTCTACCTTCTTATTTGTCCATATCTCTCATTCCACCTTTTGTCTCCCACCTCGCCTCAACTTCACCAGCAACCTTCCCTGTGTTCTGATCTTAAAACAAATAGTGAAGCTGAAATCATTGGTGCTATATGATTCAGTGGTCTGTGTGAGAAGTCCGTAGTGGATTAAATTATATATTTATTTATGTTGAAAAAGAAATTAGATTTTGAGTATGTAAAATAGGTTGAAATATGGTCAAATGTTTAAATGGATTATATGAGATGTGTTTATCGTGTCATATCAATTCACGACAATCTTCTGTACTAAACGTATTTCTCGTGTCGTGTTTAAGTTGTGTGGGTTACAAGCGTGTCAGGTCTAAGTCAAGTTTTTTTGCTACAATTAATTAAACAAATTGTGTTTAGGTTTAAAAACTTTTGACACGAATTCGATATCAACATCGTATTGGCCCGTCATTTATGGGGCCCAATGTACTGAGAGAGAGCATCCTTTCGTGTTTAGTTTGAACCGAGTCTCAAAATGTTGTTGCCCTGACAATTGAGTAATTTATCTGTTGGACCCACCAAAATCATTGTCACATCCATCCGTTGAATCCAACTATCATTGCATAAAAAGGTATCAAGCAACCGCAACTAACATTCAATGAAGCAGTACTTCTTTCTGTTCCTTCTAACATGGGACTACACAAGTTGGATGGGGGCAATTCCTTTTTTTCTTTTTAGGTCTTTTAGAAGAAAATCAGCATATTTGGATATCTAATTTTGATTGAAACACAAATTAGGATGTAATTCATATGAGTATTAAAATACATATCAATTTCAGCTTGATTCAAAAATATTTGACTCGCAACATCTACTAGAGGAATAATTGATTGGAATAACGGATTTGGTATCATGGAAAGAACATATCAAAATTGAATTATAGTAGAAACCAAAATTAAATTACAATAGCAACCAGAATTGAATTACAACAAACATAGATTGTGCAAACAACAAAACTCTTTGACAGTCAAACATAATTGTACAATGCCAGAATTTAATTACCTAAAAGAGACGCACAATATGTGCACAAAATTTAATGACAAGCAGGTTTCATGTCGTAGAGTGTCGGCTTAAGTATCAAGCTAATAAAATTGGGGAAGTTTCGTCAACTTCATGTATTATATTGCTTAAATTACACATAGAAATTATTTCAAATCTGAATTATTGGGGGAATTTTATATCTGAATTAGTTTTTTAAAACTAAGATCTGAGATTGACCGATTTTTTTCAAAAGTAAGATTTGAAATTCGAGGTTGGATTTAAGAATTATTATTCACTAAATTTGGCAGAAATTACCTGAAACTAGGTCAGATATGAGCTATCCTTATCAGCAATATAAATCCTTGCTTCATGTGGAGACGAGAGAGATGAAGAAAGTGAATAGAAGAAAGCAGCAGTGGAACACCATGGGCGTTGATGAGAGAAGAGGAGAATCTCGAGAGACAAACTTGAAGATGAATTTGGAAGAGAAACGATCGGACTTTTTTTGACGCTGTCTTTTTTTAACGGGCGTTAATTATGGTGTGGAATGAAAATCACAAATACCACATTAGATTTGGTAATGGCTAATTCCATAATGGTGCACATTAATTATCCAACACATAATTTATTTATTCAATTCAATTACACGTATAATCTCTATTTGTTTTATAAGAATAACCAAAAAATTTTATTTAAACATGCAACAACGTTGTGTATTATTAGCCTACTTTTTATAAAATCAATTACATCCTTGTACCTTCACATATTTTTTTGTTTTTATATATAATATGACTTTCAAGTTCCTTTAAACTCTTTTATAAGTAGTATTTGACTTCTAAATTCTTCTGAATTCTTTTATAAATAGTATACTTACATAAATTTTTTTATGTCTATGGTTATATCTATATGAAGAAGCAAAGATGAATCTATATTATATTATTGTATACATATAGTTATTAAGNGATGAGTAGAAGTAGCTCTGCTCCATTGGTTGTTGGTAATAACTTTACTGACTTTAGCTTCCCATGGAATTCTTGCTTCTTGCAATACATTTGGGCTGCTATTTGGTAACAGGGGACCATATGGATGCCAGTTGTCATTCCAAAAGCTTTTGTGCTGCCCATTCCCTATAATGTGCACCATTATTGGTCTTAGGAAATCCCTGAGCTTTAAAAGGTTTCTCCAAGTTTGAGGGGTTTTAAGCTCCTATAGGCTTCTATCCCTTATATAGTAAGCATGTATCCATTGGGTCCATAGGTTTTCCTTGTCATTGAACAATTGCCACAGGTGTCTCAGAAGCAAGGCAATGTTCCATTCCTTCAACCTCTTAATACCCAGACCACCCTCTCTCTTTGGCTTGCAAACATCATTCCATGNGCGTATTAAAATAAAACATATATACAAAAGGAAATTATCCCCAAAATGTACAATGAAGTCACGTAGGACTTAAAGACAAACATCAAAAAAATCCAAAAAACCAAGGCTTAAAACACAATTTTGTAAAAGATGCCCTGAATAAGAGTATCTCTTACAGAATTGTTGACAAGAGAACATTCGTATACAAAAACAAAGCATGAACCCATTGATATGCAAGAGACCAAGCAAGCCAATAGCTATAGCAAATTCAGCACCAGCACAACACACCATAGCAGACCACGCAAGCCATATGCACCAAAAAATCAGCACCAACAAGCCCAAAAAAACAGCACCAGAAAGTCATTTGCACCAATAAAAACAGCACCAGCAAGCCATGTGTAGAAGCAGAATCAGCACCTGTACAACACACCATAGCAAGCCAACACACCAAAAATAACAGCACCAGCACAACACACCAAAAAATCAGCACCAACAACAGCAGACATCAAGCAGACAACCCCAATGAGCAAGAAGCTAGAAAATAGTGTAAAGAAGTGAGGATGAAAGGACAACACAGCCAACAAAGGCTTCCCTGCAAACCACATCCCAGCAACAAACATCATAATAGAGTTAATGGAGACATGTATCAGGCAGATTCCATTGAAGCAAGGTCAAGACATTTTGGTGGTTGCGCTTGAATTTCAAGGTAAGCATCATTTCCCTAATAGTCTGCTTAATCATTGTGCAGAGTGTATGAAAGTCTGCAGCCTGGTTTCTGAAGATTCTGGCAGTTCTTTCCTTCCATAAATGATAAACAATAGCAGAAAGATTGATCTTCAAGATAATAATGGTCATCTTCTTGCCTTTCTACTGTTGAGCAGCCCATTCAATTAAATTAGGCCATTGCCTTTGCTGTCCTTGTTGATTGCTTTGGAGAAGAATGAGGTTCCAAACTCTAGAGGAGTAATCACATTCAAAGAAGAGGTGGTTGTGAGTTTCATTAGCTGTTCTACACAGTAGAAATCCTCAAGTGATCCCATGTAGATTTAGCAGAGTAAATCCCACCGGTGGAAAGGGTCCATCTCACAAAATCATTTCTGGATTGATCAGGAAGGTAGGTTGGCATGTTGTTAAAAATATTCTGCACACATAGATGAGTAGAAGTAGCTCTGCTCCATTGGTTGTTGGTAATAACTTTAATGACTTTAGCTTCCCATGGAATTCTTGCTTCTTGCAATACATTTGGGCTGTTGTTTGGTAACAGGGGACCATATGGATGCCAGTTGTCATTCCAAAAGCTTTTGTGCTGCCCATTCCCTATAATGTGCACCATTATTGGTCTTAGGAAATCCCTGAGCTTTAAAAGGTTTCTCCAAGTTTGAGGGGTTTTAAGCTCCTATAGGCTTCTATCCCTTATATAGTAAGCATGTATCCATTGGGTCCATAGGTTTTCCTTGTCATTGAACAATTGCCACAGGTGTCTCAGAAGCAAGGCAATGTTCCATTCCTTCAACCTCTTAATACCCAGACCACCCTCTCTCTTTGGCTTGCAAACATCATTCCATGCAACTTTCAGTCCAGTGTGTATAAGCTCAGGGCCCTTCCAAATGAAAGCTCTCAAAGTTTGCTCCAACTTGTCCAACACTTTCCGTGGTAAGCTCAGGTGTGTAGCCCAAAAGACATGCATTCTACTAAGCACAGAGATAACCAGCTGAAGCCTTCCAGCGTAGAATAGAGACTTGTTAATCCAAGACTTAACCTTGGATTCAACCTTTTCAATGAGGCCCATGCAGTGTTAAGCCTTAAGCTTGGTGGAAACCAGTGGAACTCCAAGGTATTTGATAGGTAAATCACCAATAGGGAACCCAAGCATCTCAATGATTTGTGATCTCTCCCCCTCAGGAACAACACTTAAACACATATTGCTCTTTTCAACATTGGGAAGTAAGACTGAGAGTTGGCCAAATTGGTCCAGAGATCTCTTCACGGTTTGTACTGAATTCACATCCCCATGACAAAATAACATCAAGTCATTAGCAAAGGAGAGTTGAATGATTTTGAGTTTTGAGCATCTCCAGTGGTACTTGAACTGGGGATTGGATGTTATGTTGCACTGNATACATATTGCTCTTTTCAACATTGGGAAGTAAGCCTGAGAGTTGGCCAAATTGGTCCAGAGATCTCTTCACGGTTTGTACTGAATTCACATCCCCATGACAAAATAACATCAAGTCATTAGCAAAGGAGAGTTGAATGATTTTGAGTTTTGAGCATCTCCAGTGGTACTTGAACTGGGGATTGGATGTTATGTTGCACTGTGTTATCAAGGACAGAAACTCTATTGCAATTATAAAAAGATAGGAAGATAATGGATCTCCCTGCCTGAGTCCTCTAGCATTAGGGAAGTGACCAGCTAACTCTCCATTCACATTAATAGAGAACATAACTCTAGTAATACAAGCATGTATCCATTTCCTCATTGTCATTAGGAAATTAAAAGCTTCTAAGGCATCAAGCAAAAAATCCCTATAGACAGTGTCAAAGGCTTTCCTAATGTCAACTTTTAGTGCACCTCTGGTGGGGGGGGGGGGGGCCTGAATNTCGTGCAGAGTGTATGAAAGTCCGCAGCCTGGTTTCTGAAGATTCTGACATTTCTTTCCTTCCATAAATGATAAACAATAGCAGAAAGATTGATCTTCAAGATAATAGTGGTCATCTTCTTGCCTTTCTACTGTTGAGCAGCCCATTCAATTAAATTAGGCCATTGCCATTGCTGTCCTTGTTGATTGCTTTGGAGAAGAATGGGGTTCCAAACTCTAGAGGAGTAATCACATTCAAAGAAGAGGTGGTTGTGAATTTCATTTGCTGTTCTACACAGTAGAAATCCTCAAGTGATCCCATGTAGATTTGGCAAAGTAAATCCCACCGGTGGAAAGGGTCCATCTCACAAAATCATTTTTGGATTGATCAGGAAGGTAGGTTGGCATGTTGTTAAAAATATTCTGCACACATAGANCTAGGAGCATTATGATAATTTAAAGAGAAGATTACCTCCTTAATTTCTTCGTTAGACACCTCTCTAACCATTTTGGCAGCAACGTGTGGAGGAACTTTGCTTTGGACCACTGACTGCATACCTGCTCTTCTCTCATGAACAGGGACAACATGTCTTGCTTGGTCTAATAAGTTGACATAATAATTAACAGCTTCTTCCTTCACAGCTTGTTCACCCTCAGCCTTTGATCCATCCGCCCTATCAATAGTAAACAAATTTTTCCTATTTCTTTTGCTATTCATTGTCTTGAAAAAATAAGATGTATTCCTATCACCTTCTTTGAGCCATTGGACTCTAGATTTCTTCTTGCAAAAAATTTCTTCATCTTTGGCAGCTTGAGTATAGTCCTTCAGGAGCTGTATTTCTTCTTGTCTCCAAGCGGTTTCAACTGGGTTAGTGTCTAGCTCTCTATGGCATCTCATTAAAGCTTCTCTTGCCTCTCTTTCTTTCACTAAGACATCCCCTACTTCCTTGATAATCCCTTTGAAGATATCTTTGAGTCTTTTGAGCTTGCTGACAACTTGAAATTGGTGACTTCCTTGGACATTTTGAAACCAAATCTGTTGGACAAGGTCCAAAAATTCCTCTCTTGCTGCTAAATGGTTGAAAAATTTAAAGGGGCATTTTCTTTTGAGGGGCTTTGGACCAATTTGAACAATTGCAGGGCTATGGTCAGAGACAACGACAGGAAGAAATTCTGTCGTAGAAATTTGGAATCTAGTAGCCCTTGCTTCATTAACCAGAACTCTATCCAGCTTTCTGGCCACAACAACTTCACCTTCTCTTTTGTCACACCAAGTAAATTGGATCTTAGTATACCTAAGATCCATAAGTTCTGAATCTTGCAAACAAACATCAAATTCCTCCATTGATTGACTCCAACTACTTTGGCCCCCTGTAGTTTCACTTGGTGTCCTAATAACGTTGAAATCTCCTAAAGCAACCCATGGTTCAGCAGCAACAAAGTTTGAATGGTGTCTAAACCCCCTCCACAAAGTTCTCCTCTCAATGTCATCTTTTGACCCATAGACAAAAGAAGCAAAAACTTTTGTGTTACTTTCAAAATGTTTGACCAAGCAATGTATCACTTGGTTAGTTTCCTCAACTTTATTGATTTCCAATGTATTTGGGTTCCACCCAATCCAGATTCTTCCAAAATGATGGCTATCATAATTTGCCAAGTAATCCCAATATCCAAACACATTATGCATCAACCTATCTTTATTCACACTCCTAACTTTTGTTTCAACAATTCCCAAAAGGTCAAGTTGTTGATCCACAATCAACTTCCTGGCTTCTTCTTGCTTTGAGGGCTTGTTAAGTCCTCAGATGTTCCAGCATGCAAGCTTCATTGAGGGGGGGAGTACTTTCCTGAGAATTAGGTGCTCAGTCACCTTGGATTTCCCCATCTCATGGTCTTTCTTTTTCGCTTTCTTCTTTTTACTTCCCAATGGATGTTTGCTTCCATTTGTTTTTTCCTTCTCCTTAGTCCCCTCATTGTAGATTGAGGTACTAGCTTGAGCTTTAGAGCCTAAGTCCACGACAATTTTCCCTCCCTCTAGATTCAGGTCCGTAAATTTGTTCTTAGATGTAATCCTCCCAACATCCTGTTGGGGGGAGGCAATTTGATTGACTATGATTTCTGTGACTTGAGAGTCAACCTGAGGATTCCTTTCAATCTCAGTAACAAGTACCAATTGATTATCTGCAACTCTCTTTTTATTAGTCTCCATAGTTTTAATGTCAAGCACTATAGATGCCACTGCTTTGCCCTTCTCAAGGCACAAGTCCGGTTGGTTAGTGCTCCGAAATTGAACATTAGCATGATCCTCCACATTAATCCTAGCCTTTGATATCATTTTGGGTCATAAGGACTCATTATGGCCAAAAACTTTGCATATATTACACACCTTGGGCTTCCATTGGTATTCTACCTTTATTTCCATAGTTTCAACCATACCATTGATATCCACATTCAGATCAAAGGCTTCAATTAATGGACTTCTAGCATTCACTTCAACATAGATTCTTGCAAAGTTTATTCTCTGTTTCTTGGAAATGAGAGTATCAGCATATAAAGGCTTCCCAACAACACTTGCTATGTACCTCAGACCTTTCTCGTTCTAGAATTGGAGAGGGATATTGTGGAATTTAATCCACAATGGGATTATTGAGTGGTTCTCCCTGGACAACAATAGGTTTGGTTGCCATTTCTGGAGTATTAATGGCCAACCAGATAGCAGCCAAGGACCAGACTCAAAGATTTTTGTTCTAGATTCATCATTCATGAATTTAAAATAGTAAAATCCATTGTCCTTAGCCAATACCTCTAGAAGTCCTGGACTAACCGACATCCTGTGTGCCAAGTAGCTAACAGTGGTAACAAGGAACTTTTTTTCAATGAAGTATCCCACAAGACAGTTCTGCCATTCAAGATTTTCTTGCCTACCAATTTCTTCAGGGGGGTGGACCACAATTCTATTATTTTCCATTTTTGGCTCAAAAAATTGGAGTTTCATTACTTGGGTTTGACTTTCATTCTGGTTAGCTGGGTTGCTTGCTACACGTCTTTCTTTAAGGACTTGGTTCCAAGGAGCCCTGGGTCTGGGTTATTTTTGCTGGACCTCCAGCAGGTTAGGTTGAGCTTTTGTCGGGTATTGTTTGTCTTTCGAAAACACATCCACATCAATCAGCTTTTTTGAAGCTTCACCGCTATGTATCGATATGCCAGCAAAAAGGTTTTCAGCATTCGCCTCCTCCTCTGTTTGTTCCTCTGTCTGCCCTGTTTTTCCCTTATCTCTTGAGTGGCTTCCAGGTAGAGCATTAGAGTTCCGCTCCTTTGTCCCTTCTAGGTTCACTTTAGCATTTACATGAGCTTCAGGTAGCTCAGTATTAATGTTGCTGCCAAATCTACAACCTGGCTTGGCTTTAAAGGTTGTAGGGTCCATGGATTAGATGTGGGTGTAAAGCGAGGTAGGGGAAGGAACAAAGAGGGGTTTTGGACCTGTGGGAAAGAGACAAGGGGTAACCGGTAAGAGAGTGGGGAAATGAAAATGGAAGTGGGTTAGTAACAGATTTGCAAATGGAAGAATGGATTCAGTGGAGAAGATCGATTTGGTGGGTTTCGGATCTGTTAGAAAGAGATAAGGGGTGAACGATAAGAGGGTGGGGAAATGAAAATGGAAGTGGGTTAGTAACAGATTTACAAACGAAAGAATGGATTCAGTGGAGAAGATCGATTTGGTGGGTTTCATGGTGGCCGAGAACGAAGATCGCCCATTGAGAGAGTGTGCTTCCGTCTATGAACATAAACTTGATCTACTAGGTTTATCATTTAACTTAATTACACAAAAAAATATATTTTCATAGATTCAACAAAAAAAATTATTATTTAAATTATTCACGTGGTCGTGTATTGCTAGTGTTATTTAAATGTGTAGTAACTTATAAAATTAGGGATACTTAACCAAGAAGAGGCAAGAATTGCATTGCAAAAACTTGAGGACAACCTTGGCGTGAGACGCCTCCCCTGGGACACTGCGAATGGCAAGAGTGGCATCCTTGGAGAATTCTCAATGGTGCCCCTTATAACAAGGCCCATTTGAGAGATCCTATAACGCATTGTGTGCCAACGATGGTAAAGTCAACTAATAGTGAATTATTATGTAACTGGCCTAAATGACTAATTAAGAGGAAGGGTCTCCATTTGGGACATGGTAATATGGCCCCCTCGAGTGAGATCTTAGAAACGAGGGTGGACAGACATAATTGTCGACATCGACTTAGCGTAGGGTCTCAAAAATTTAGTCTATTCAAATAGGTCTCTCTGTATATAGTTCATTACTCACTAGGTTATGCATGACTGAGATTTGATGGGATCTTAAAGGATAAAGGGTTAATAGTCCAGATTAACATATGGAATGGTTGTGGACATCTGAATTAATGGCTAAAACATCGAAACTATGTGATTATCTTTGNACCTTAAAGTATAAAGGGTTAATAGTCCAGATTAACATATGGAATGGTGGTGGACATCTGAATTAATGGCTAAAACATCGAAACTATGTGATTATCTTTGATTGGACACCTTGGCAGAGGCCTTAGAAGGGATTCTAAAGAGAGTAAGAACATTGATGGGCCAAGCCCAAGAGTCTAACTTATGTGATAAGCTCGGTCCAAGTTTTATGGCCCAACTCTAAGGGGTCCACTAAGTCTAACCCAATGTGATCAACATGGTCAAACTCATCAAGTTCAAAGGCTACATCAATAAGAAGCATGCAAGGTCATCCAGGAGTCTCCTCTACCATCTTGGAGTAAGGGTCATCCAAGAGCCTCCTCTATACAACCAAGAGAACGTCTAGGAGCCTCACTCTCGCTGCTTGGAGAGAGTCAATCTTATCTCATCCTTTGACCAAGTCTTTTGGAGAGCATCATAAACTTCCTTGCCCGTTGAGGAAATCAGAGGTCGCCAAGTTATTTAATCACTGTTAAAGTCACCCCAATCTGTTATGACTATTAAACAGCCACAACCCGTTATAACTGCTTGATTAGTTATTTAATTAGTATCCATTATAAGACAACTATAAAATGTAAGGCCCACCAACACTTGGGGGGTATCTCACTCATTTTGAGCATAATTCTCTAATCCTCTTTGAAAGTTTGTAATCTTTTGCTCTCCCACTGCACCGAAGTTAATAAATTCCGGCGACTCTTGCCATTTCAAGTGGACGTAGGTCACCTTGACCGAACCACTATAAATTTGGTCTTCTCTCTCTACTTTATTGTATTTTATATTACTTAATTGACAGGTGGTGTGTAAACCAATTTTGTGCATCATCAAATATGACTCTCCCTCGGTGGTTAGTCATGACCCTCCACCTCGGAAATCAACCTTTTCCACGAAGGATGTACCCTTTCCTCAATGGCTGAATCCAAATTGTATTCAAGGAAACGTTATATCTACCTAACTAATGCTTGAGACACTGGGCACACTGTGAGCATCGAACAATTTGGCTGAAGTCAAGGCAATTACAGGTAGGCACAACTGTCATGTATGACATTGACCCCTGTAGAAAGGTAGGTGCGGGCAGCTTTTAGGGTACCCTACCTAGCTGAGTACCTCTGCTATAACTACATTCATCACTTAACCCCACAATACACACAAGAAACTAGTCTGAGATAGATATCTTGGCTGGCATGAGAGCATTCACTATCTCTACCTATCCAAGAGATCATTTATTATCTCCACCTGCCTATCATAGCATTTACTATCTTTACCTATCCCAGAAATATTATCTCCACCTACCTAAGATAGTATTTACTATCTTCACCTATCCTAGAAATATTTTGCCCAGTAATTAATTTTGATAATTAATAGGCAATTCAAGTCATTTCAAATAAAGAATTCGGTGAAGGTAGTTTTATTGGATTCATCTCTACAAACAGCTTGCATTTATTTATAAGCAGCCACCTGATACAAAGATAAGTCAGATCTTCTGTCCTTATTATATTCAATATAATCTTCCTATCATATTACCCGAATCATATCTTTGATATTTATCCATTTGGATGAATGGTGTCATTAATTCTAATCTTTATCACTTTCATAACATCCACTCATCTTACTCAACTGTTGGAGCATATTGACATTAGACATGAATGACCCACCAACCCATCCGTCACAGTTCACAGTTGCTCCTAGAGTTGGTAGCAGCCAACCTCATCATAGGCTATTAAGTTTGAAGGTTATTTACAATTTTTTAGGGTCATTTTTAATTTTTGGGGAATATTTATAATTTTTGAAGGTCATTTATAATTTTAGAGGATCATTTACAACTTTGAGAATACTTAGGATGGATGACAAATAATCCTCAAAGGTAGTAAATGACTCCCAAAAGTTGTAACTTGAACTATAAAAGTTAAAAAATGATCCCAAAATTTGTAAATATTGTTTGTTGTAAACAAACTCAAAAACTTTTATTTTAAACCCACAAAACTTGTAAACTTTGGCGGTATGATACCAAAATATGTTTTTTCAATATCTTAGTTTTCTCGGCAAAAAAATATATTGTAACACATAAATGTGAAAGCAACTAAAGCAATATGAAGAAAAGTTTCTACTCTAAGGACCACGTGGTACATTAAGCAATGTACCACGATGGTCCTAAGTCTGCCAGATTCCATATTTTAAGATGAGGGACATTAGAGTGTTTCTAGTGATGTGAAGGCACTACAACAATGATGGGCTTTAGTGACAAATTTTTTAGTGACCAAGTTATTTTTGTCATTAATGATACCTTTTTAGTGATGACATGTGAAGTTGTTATTAATGATCTAGGATGAGTGACGACAACAGTATTTGTCACAAAAAGTTAACGTTTAGTGATGAATTATTATTTGTCGTTGTAACTTCATCACTAGAAGTGTAAAAAATTAGATAAATAGTAATGAATTTTATTGTTGTCACTCAAAATGATAATCAATTACTTTTAGTAATCAGATTAGTTGTCTCTGAAAATTTCAAGGTTTGGTGATAACTTTAATGTCGTCACTAAAACACTAATGGTTTTAGCGGTGACTTTCATGTCATCACTAGAACTTTCATAGTTTTAGTGACAACATTGATGTTATTATTAAAAATTTTATACTTCTAGTGATGATTGTCAAGTCGTCACTAAAACTTTTATATTTTGAGTAACTAAATTAATTATGTCACTAAAAATATAAAATTTATGTCACTACATCGGTGTTGTCAAGTGGCTTATTTTATATTGTTTGGCAAATTTCAAATTATACCACATCACCTCCTAACCTACAAAAATAAAAAACAAAATGCTCTTGTTATTTCTAGACTAAACTA